ATATATATATATATATATATATTTGTACTTGACAATATCATTATGTGTATAAATTACTGTATAATTGTTTTATAATAAGTAAAATGCCTTATTAAGAGAAACTTAACAAGCCCAATAAGGCAGTATTAGTTATTTCCCATAGGGAGTATAAGAAATTCAGGACTTATCCTAAAATAAAAAAAATGGCCAAACAGACAATGGGACGGATAACTCCAAACCAAACCATGCATTAAATCCTATCAAATATGGTCAGTTACATATTCTATTTTTCTCTCCTAATTTCCTTCTATTGCAGGAATTATTTAGTCAGTCTTGAATATTACATGTTTGTGTACCCGTCTAATAATATTCTATAACTTGTCCACTATTTTCTTATTCTTAAGACTATTATATATTCATGTAACCTATGTTATTCGTCAAGGCAGATGACCAATACAGAATTTTCGATAGACAAAATAACTCATCCTTCTAATGTCTCGTCCTCTAAGCAAGTTCTAATTCATCCTTCTAATGTGTCTTCTAAATTAAGTACACAAATATTTTTCTGTTGTATTTTCATGTATCAATTTTTTTTAATAAAAAGTTATAAATACATATAATGTGTATAAAAGAAATTTAAAGCGAATATTCACAGCCTCATTTGTTATCAAACATGATCATAGAGCTCACTTATCGTGATTTTTGAACTGAAATTGGGTGTTTTTTTTTTTTTTTTTTTTTTGGTATTAAGGTTGACTTGTAACTTGAATCATTTCTAATTCTAGTTTTGAATTTTAATATCTAATCTGTTAGGGAAAATATGTGATTCCCCACAAGTAAATCAATCAATGGGAATAAAAACTAATGCGGAAAAATTAAATCAAAGGCAACACAAGAATTTTTACGTGGTTCCCTCAATGTGAGGTACGTCCACGGGATCGAAATCCGATTCCACTATCAACCAAATAAGTTCCAAACGATTACAAACGAGACACTAATGGTCTCACAAAACCACCCTTAGGTGAATTCCAAATAATCACAAATAAACAAAGAGGAAAGACCTCACCAAATAGATGAACCAAAATCTTCAGAATCAGAGTTGAAGAAGACCCAAAATAATTAATCCAAACCAAGCTTCAAAAAACCAAAATTGAACCAATATGTAAATCGTCGGCACGGAAGCAATCTGCACACACTTCACCTCTGGGCAAACAAATTAATTAGGCTACTGCTCTACTTCACACTGCGGCACACATAAAACAATATATATATATATATATATATATTGTTTTATGTGTGCCGCAGTGTGAAGTAGAGCAGTAGCCTAATTAATTTGTTTGCCCAGAGGTGAAGTGTGTGCAGATTGCTTCCGTGCCGACGATTTACATATTGGTTCAATTTTGGTTTTTTGAAGCTTGGTTTGGATTAATTATTTTGGGTCTTCTTCAATTCTGATTCTGAAGATTTTGGTTCATCTATTTGGTGAGGTCTTTCCTCTTGTTTATTTGTGATTATTTGGAATTCACCTAAGGGTGGTTTTGTGAGACCATTAGTGTCTCGTTTGTAATCGTTTGGAACTTATTTGGTTGATAGTGGAATCGGATTTCGATCCCGTGGACGTACCTCACATTGAGGGAACCACGTAAAAATTCTTGTGTTGCTTTTGATTTAATTTTTCCGCATTAGTTTTTATTCCCATTGATTGATTTACTTGTGGGGAATCACATTGATTTTCCCTAACAGTTTCTACTAATGTAAAATTACACATTTAGACAATCTGTACTATAGAAATTTTGAACTTTCCCTCATTCCGAAACAAATCCCACATTACGAATAAAAACGTAAAACTCTAATGTAACACTTCAATAACGTAATATTCAAATGTAATACATTAAAAAATTTATTGGTGTATTTTTTCCAAATGTAACACCGTAATACTAAAAAAAAACTATTAGTGTATTTTTTCCAAATGTTACATTCAAAAAAAATTCTTAGTGTATTTTTTTTCAAATGTAACACTCCAATATAATTTAAAAAAAATAAAAAAATAAAATCTGTGTATTTTTCTCAAACTTAACATTCCAATCAATGTAATTTCAAACATAACTCTCTAATGTAACATACTTCAATGTAACACACACAAAAATATTAAAAAGCTCATTAATATACTTTTTTTCAAAACTTTTACTAATGAATTTTTGTATTCATTTTAGAATGGTTCAAGAATCCAACATCCTTTTGAAATGGTTTGAAGAATCCCGCATCTTTTTTTTGAAATGTTATATTAAAAAAATTTTGTATGCTACATTTGAGTATTATACTAAGAAATTTTTTTTGAGTGTTACATTTAAAAATCATACATTAAGAAATTTTTTTTTGTGTTACATTAGAGTGTTATTCTAAAGAATTTTTTTAAAGTGTTATATTTGAGAAAAATATACTAATAAGTTTTTTTAGAGTGTTATATTAGAGTGTTACGTTTGAGAAAAGTACACTGATGATTTTTTTTAGAGTGTTACAATGAAGTATTACGTTTGATTGCTATATTGGAGTGCTACAGTTTGAAATTATACATTTATCCAAAGTTGGCACCGTCTGGGAAGAAGAATATGGGGTTTTTTTGGCTATTTTAGCCACAAAAGACAAAATAGGCTATTTTAGCCACAAAAAATAAAACATCACATCTAATCCTCAATCATTACACTCTTCTCTCACAAAAAAAGTCAAAAAAGCCAAAAAGCCCTTCACAAACCAAGCTTTTTAGCTCAGGCTAAAATAGCAAAAAAAATCAAAAAGCCAACCCACTTCCCAAACCAACCTTAAGGAGTTTTTGTACTCATTTTGAAATATTTGAATAATCCCATATTTTTTTGAAATGTTTGAAGAATCTCATATTTCAAGTCATTTTTATACTATTTTTGAAATATTTATCAAATAAATAAGATTTTCATATAAAAATTCATCATAAATTTGATTTTCATATATTATATACCTATGTTTCTAGTACAAAAGAAATATATATATATATATAAAATAGAAATAAGAGTATAATTATAAATTTAATTTTTAAATAATATATTATATTTAACTTTATAATTTTTAAATAATATATTATATTTAACTTTTTAAAATTAATAAGATTAATTGATCTACTAAAATCATCAAATTAAAGTCAGACTCTCGGACTCAGTCAGTCCTGACGAACATTCGTTTGTTTCAGAGAGAGAGAGAGAGAGACCTCTAATCGAAGCTCTCATCAATGGCGGACTCAAACCTAGCGCCTCTCTCTCTAATCCTCATCTTCCCTCTCTCTCTCCTCGTCTTCCTCTACCTCATCGTCAGCCCCAAACCCGTCAGAATCCCAATCAAAGGCCGCCACGTGTTCATCACCGGCGGATCGAGCGGCATCGGCCTCGCCATGGCCCGCCAGGCCGCCGCGGAGGGCGCTCGGGTCTCCATCCTCGCTCGCAACCGCGACAAGCTCGAGGAGGCGAAGCAATCGATCCATCTCTCCACCGGCATCGACGTCGCCGTCTTCAGCGCCGACGTGCGAGACTTCGCCGCCGTGAAGGCGGCGGTGGAGGAGGCTGGGCCGGTCGATGTGTTGGTGTGTAATCAAGGAGTTTTTGTACCGCAGGAATTGGAGAGTCAGGAATTGGAGGAAGTGAAGTTCATGATCGATGTGAATTTGATGGGGACTTTTCATTTGATTAAGGCCGCTTTGAATGGGATGAAGAATCGGAGAGATCGTGGACCGGCTTCGATTGCGATTATGTCTTCTCAGGCTGGTCAGGTATAGGTCTATATGTTACATTTCTAGTCCTGTGTTTGTGTCTTCATTTCTTCCTCTTACTGTCAATTATATGTGTGTTTGTGTCTTTGTGGTGTGAAGTTACTGTGAATGTAGCTTTAATTGGATATCAATGTATTTATACTTTCCATAGTTTAGGTTTTCACGGTACTTTGATAATCTCCTTCATTACATATCTAATGAGAGGCTTCTCTCCAGTCCTCATCTGAAATGGAGAGGTGTTGTTTGGGCCTTGAGGCCCACCTGCGTCCCGTTTTGATGATTGGAATGGTTCATTTTTTTAAGGACTTTATGTATATTATCGATAAAAAAAAAATATAAAAAATAGGTGAATTTGATAATCATAAATGTTCATTTCTAAAAAAGCATTTGTGTTTTCTAAAATACACCATTCATTTTTTTAAATCAAATGCGAGAAAATAAGTTCGATTTAATTTTTTTTTTTTGAATAATATACACTAAGAGCCCTAAAATATGAACAACTCAAATTATCAAAACGGATCCTTGTGGTGGATCCCACGGACCCAGACAATGCCTCTCCGGTCCGGATGAAAACTAGAGTGAATCCCATCACCAAATTTATAATTATTTTAAATTAAAAAAAGAGCTTTACACTTACCGTTGGATGATGTGACGGAGAAGATCACAATCTGTTTTCACTTCGTTTACTTTCCATGATGATGTAATGAGTTTGGTAATGCCAAACCTCTTGCCAAATTTGGCACAACAAATACCATTGGAGTTGCTCTTAACGGTGGACCATAATGCTAATTGGCCTTTTCTGGAGAATTCGTATCTCCTTGTATGATATGCACTGGTGGTCAAGATTTTGACAATAACGCCGCAATTTTATTTTAATATTATGATGGTTTTTCCATGACATGATATCAAATAGAATGTGTGATGTCTAAATTATTAACAAGTAGCCTGATAATTACGTTAAACAGGGTAATCAACTATATAAGAAAATCCAACGAGAGACCTACCTACAAGCCCAACACCAGCGACCGTTACATCAAAACAGAAAGAGCCCAGTAGCAGGAAAGAAATAAACAACTAAAGAAAGATCTTGTAATGGAGGATAAATAATCAGTATTTGTCATTGGCAAGTATTGAATCCCTGACTTGAATGAGTATAGGAGTGGCCAATTGAGCTAGCTCAGTTGGTTCGTTTTTAGCTTTTCAGAGCAAAAATTTTCATTTTTCATGTTATGAAGCATATTGAATGGAGTAAATAGACACAGGCAATATATTAGAACTGAACTTTTCCTGCCCCCTTTTTGTGCTGCAGCCAATTGTTAAATCTAAATTTCACCTTGTCCAGCTATGTCTCTTTCTTTTTGTTTTCCTCCCTGATCACTGGAAATTTCAGAGTAAGAAGCCTAATATATCAATCATCAGGCACACTCTAGGTGATTGTTAGATTTTGGATGTCACCTTATTTATTTATTTATTTATTTTTGGAGTCATATTGTCACTGAATCATTTGGGGCGCTAATGCAACGGTTATTATTGTTCTTCTGATTGCCATAAATTTTATTTGTAGGTGGGTATTTATGGTTACACTGCTTACTCAGCTAGTAAGTTTGGCCTCAGAGGCATGGCAGAAGCACTTCAACAGGAAGTTATTGCGGATAACATTCATATCTCTCTTATATTCCCCCCTGACACTGAAACCCCTGGTTTGGAGGAAGGTTTGGCATTCTGATCCTGCTAAACTTGTGTTATGTTGTACTGCTAGTCACTAGACTGGATATCAGATTTGCAGCCACACCAAAACATCATTTTTCATGAAACTTAACCCATTAGTATTGTCTTATTTAGACTGTGGCTATGTAGTTCTTACTTAGTGCACTAAAATTTTTGGAGAGAGTTAAATCTGTTAATGAAAAGAAAAGTAACCCATTAGTTCTATCTTATTTAGACTGTGAATATGTAGTTTTCAATGCACAATTTATTTTTTAGAGGGTTACATATGTTAATGAAAAGAAAGTGCATTGCTAATTATCTGTTCCCCTACAAGAAATGACATTGTTAGAAATTACTATATTACTTTCATTTCTTCAAAAAAAATTTATTTTTTTATTTTTGAAAAAGTTTATGTATCTTAACATACCTTCTTAGATTAGTGGTTGCCACTTCTTGAGTCCTTGACTTGGATTTTGTAACAACTATTGGAACACTATTTGTGAAACAAAGCATTTGTTGCCGATCCTTTCCATGTCAAATAAATAGTCTTAATTGATATTCATGACAATGTCTCTAGCTTCTCAATCTTACTAAGAATCGAAAAATTGAGATCAGTGTGGGGAGTTTGGGTGCAATTTTTCAATATAATGAGTCATTTGAAAGTCCTTGAAATTTAACATTGAGGATGTTTAATGGATAGAGTTTTCAAAGGATGCATGTTGTGGAGGCTATATCCTCTCGGAGGAAGTTCCTTATTTTTTGTGACCCTGGGAAGTGAAGATGATTGGGTGAAGATGTGGCCTAGAGAGATGTGACCTAGAGAGATGTGATGGTGTGTAGGAATATTGAATGCATTCAGAGGATTGAACCAAGTGTTTCTTTTTTTTTTTTCATTATCTTTTCAATATTACCTAGGGGTCACTATTGGTTCAATGGTTAAGATTTTTCTTAATAATCTTAAAGTTATGGGTTCAAGTCTTGGGGCCACCACTTTGTACATTATGCCAAAGGTTAGGTATGTACTCAATCTTTTCCCTCCCAAACACACAGTAATGTGTACTAGTTGGGCGTTATTTTTTTAATTTTTTTTATCTTTTCAATATTACCTCAAATAGGCTGGAAGATATGGTTTTCCTACTTGAAAGTGCAAGTTTTTAGGTACACTTGGAGACAATGGAACTCTGAGAGGCAGCTATCTCTCTCTCTCTCTCTCTCAGGCTCTTGGCCGTTGATGAGGATAAATGTGTTATTGTTAACCACTACTTGATTAGTTGGTGCATTCAATAAGGTGCATAATGTGAAGATAGTTGTAGTTGTTGGATCACCATTCTTTACATTTCAATTTGGCACGGGTTCTTGGGAACTTTGTGTTTTAATTTTTGGGGATTCAATGGGTGGTACCACAGATAGCAACATGTCTATTCTTGCTGTGGTGGATTGGAGTTGGAGATAAGGAACAATTTTGGAGGTAAGTCCCATGCTACTTCTTGGTACATTTGGGAGAAGAGAAATGGATAAGCTTTTGTAGTTCAGGAGTCATCAATTCTCTTGATAAAATCCTTGTTTTTGAAGTACTTTTTTTCATTTGAGGTCCTCTGAAAATGTTAGTAGTTTTTGTTTGTCAAATTTCTTGATTCATATTTTCTATAGTTGGCTTGGTGTGTACCTTGCCTGTAGGGAACCTTTCTTCAAATAAGAATGTGGTTACTTCACAGGAAGTCAAAAGATTTTTTAAGCAATGTTATATTTTTATTGAAAAAAAAAATAAAAAAAATCACAGTACATCAAAGATTTGTGAAGCAAGATTTTTTTATAAGAATCATGTATTACATTCTTTGAAGCTCTACTTATACAAAATCTAAAATGAAAGAAAAAACATTATTTAAAGCTTCTCTAAAGAAATCGTGGCCGAAGGTCTCTCATTTGGATTGTATTATGTTTCAGCTTAGCATATTCCTCAAACACACATGGGCCTGTTCTTTTCTTCTTGCCTTTTCTAAGTTAGTCTTGATGTATCTTGAAAGAAACTTGGCAAAAACTGAATTTTTTTTTTTCTTTTAACCAGCTGACAGGCTTTAATATGTATTATATTTTTATTTATCCATAGTTATATGGTTCCATAGGATGTTTTGTTTTAGAAAGCAAGGAAACAATGAGTAAGATGAATTGTATATTTACTTCTGGAAATTCCAAAAGGCACTTATTATGAACCAACATCTTAATTTTTTCGTGGGGTCAAGAATGACTGTGATATTGGATTGCAGAAATTAGATTTTCCCTTTTTGTCTAATCTTTTAGTTTTATCTCACTGAAAACAGATTGAAGTACCTTTTCTTCCACTGCTTTATCACCAATAAAACATCTTTCTTTTTATTTTTCTATAAACCAATCAGCTAACCAGGATGATTTTCTCTTTTGTTTGTTTTTTTCTTTTAATATCAGCTTAAGATGGTTCACGTGAGAGGTGTTAAGCATAGTCCTTAAAGGTTTAGAGTTTTGCAGTCCAAGACCAAAAATTAATAAAAAGGAGTGTTGCAAGGCTGTGAATTTTCTATGCCTTCCTTGGGCATTTGTCTTACAGGATTTAATTTAAAAAGTTTTCTGATCTTCTTTTGTTCCAATGATGCACCTTTTAAATACTCTTAGGCTCAATTTTTAGCGTGAGGCATGCCTTAAACGCATGAGTAATTTTTTGTATGAACACTGTTACTCATTGCCCTTGGCTGTTGTCTAATTTGTGTCTAGTTACAATTTTGAAGCAACTTTATTTTGTTGTTGCCCTTGGAAATTTGACTTTTAGTCCCATATTTTTCTAAAAGATCTGTGCTTATTGCAGAGAACAAGAAACGACCACAGCTTACCAGTATCATTGCAGCTTCCTCTGGTGCAATGAAAGCCGATGAAGTTGCCAAGAAAGCTTTGGATGGCATCAAATCTGGTAGTTTTATTGTCCCCTGCAACTTTGAGGGACTGTTATTGACCATTGCAACTGCCGGTCTATCCCCTCAAGGATCATACCTAATGGCATTTGTTGAGGTGGTTACTGCTGGTATAGTACGCCTTGCAGGTCTATGTTTCCAATGGAATTGGTATGGAAGCATAGAAAAGTGGCATGCACAAAAGAAATAGTAAGTAATTCATAAGGTGGAGAGTTTATCATTAAGAAATCTGCTTCCCTGTAGTTTTATTAATTCTCTGTTACTGATTTATTTGATAAGTATTTATTGGTAATGTTGAAAGTAAATAATTACAATTGATTTATCTCACCTTTATTGGATGATGGAGAATTTACATAAGAACTGATTTCAGTCGTTGTAAGCATGGCTTTAGATTTCTGTTGTGTTCTCAATAATTTTATGCAAGCTTTTGTTTCTGTTTTGAATCCAAAAAGTGTTTCTGGTTTCCTTCTAGTCAATATAGAGCTTTATTGAACTATGTTATGTTAAATTCTTTAAAAAAACAATAAGCAAAGCAGTCAAAAACATATTTCTTGCATTCAATGATGTACAGAGTAACTAGGATTTTGATTTATCGGCAATAGTTGCAAGCTCCCCATGTTTTACCTATTTTTTGATGTAGTGTAGTTGATGCCTATTATATTGCCCCATGGTGTTTGGAAGATGCCATTTCTAAAGAAACATTAGGATTTCATACATAGGTACAAGTTTTATGTAGCTTCATCACTTCGTTGTTTCGTGTTACTCTAAAAGTGATTGACATTGAATCGTATTAAATGATCTGCAATAATTTTTACAACTGCCATATCCCAAGTAATTGGTAGAATATAGTAAGTGCCATTTAAGTATCCGACTCACAATGATTCGAACAAGCTTTTCGATCTCCAATTTTAATAAGCACTACCTTTACTTTTTCTGTTTTTGCTGTGAAAAGCAGCAGCCTTCTTTGTTATATGCTGTCATCATCTTTTTTTTTTATCTTGGGATTCGTTTTTGCAAATTTATGTCTAGAATTGCTAAACTGAACTGAAAACCTGACTGCTGTTCTTTAGTGCCATCTTGTAGCACAAGAGGTACTGCTTAAATTGCAACGACAGTTGCATAAGTAATGATTCAAGTTTTATTTTTGTTGTTTGGTTTCAGAATCCTGGAAATTTTGAGCTTGACACGCGGACAGTCCTATGCATGGCAGCTTTCGGAGATTACAACAGATTTTTGTCCATTCATGAGGATGGTTCTTGTAACTGGCAATTTTTTTTTTTTTTGGGATCAGATATTTGACAAATTGAAGGAAATAAAAAATTTGCAAATCAAATCTTCAATGCTTGATCTGAATTTGTCAGTTCTTTATCCAGTGTTGTTTTTCTTAGAAGAAAAATGGTTGAGAGCACTAAAAATGTTGCTCTAATGGCACCACTAATGATGTGGCAACGGGCTCCGTTCACTGCTTATGCCTTTTTTTTCCCCAATACATTAGTACTATTAGTGATATTTTTTTTTGGTGGTATGAATCATTGTTGTTCTTAGAAAGCTCAACAACTATAGCAAAGCTCTCCTTCTAATTCTTCTTCATGTCTTTCTCTTGGTTATTTATTGTTGCCAGTTTTATGCTATTTTATTCTCTCGAACATGATAGTTATTACAATAGTTATTTTAACGAAAGTCTTTTCTTCTAATTACATTTGAAGAGCTTTAAGACGCCTTGAAACTGTCTATGTGGATAAAATATGTAAAATAAAGAGTAACATTGTAACACATAAAAATTATACTCATTTCTATTGAGATTTTGAAAAAATACAGTAAGTCTTACAATTTTAATATGATTAAAGCTAAAGGGATATGAATTAATGTTGATGGAAGGAAAATACGAAAATATAAATAAGATAATATATACATTTTAAGATACTACAGATGATAATATTGTTTTTCTATTCATATGACTAATAAATTATATTTTATTTATCTACCTTAACACACATGTTAAGTAAATTAAAATCATATTTGAACTTATTATAACTATATTAAATTTGTAAAATTTACTATATATTTTTTTTCAAATATGAGTAAATGTCTTAATTCACTCTAAAGTTATTGAACAATATACTTGTGCGGGAGCAAATATTTAGGTAAACTCGCACTCCTTTCTTCCAAGTTCCTCCTTGTCCAATCGACCTTCGAGCACAACGGCGGTGAGCTACCCGGCGGTGTGTGGCCGGAAAATCCCTCCGACGATCAAATTAGACACACACACGGGAATAGAGAGGGAGTGAGAGGAGGGTGTTGAGTGTTTAGTATATGTCTCACAAAATTGTCATCTGTCTAGGCATGGGGGCGCAGACCCGCTTATATACCTTCTGCGCCTCAAATCTACTCCCATTCATCTCTCGACACGTGGTGCTGCTATTCCATCCGTCAGCACAAATCTTGTTGTACATTACCTAACCCAACTGCCAGCCCACTCTGCTGGGAGTTCGGCAACCGGGGTACAGCATCACGGCCGCCGACATCTAGGCTGCACTTCATGCCCAAGTGTAGCAATAGCCGAGCTTCGTCTCTATCGTGCTCGACTGCATTCCGGCGAAGTCGAGCTCCGGAAAGGTCACGCCGATCAACCAAAGGCTTTCCTGCCGAGCTTCTGGCACGAGCCTCCCTACCGAGGCAAAGGCGTATGCCTTCTGGCCGAGCAACGCAAGTTGCACGGTCACCACCGGTGCGAGTAGTTCGGCCACGGGCCGGGCAGCCCCAACTCCGAGCAAGTCCTAAGCTATCTCGGCCCAACACGTCCTTGGGCCTTCAACTTGCTCGGCTTTTATCTCGGCCCACTCCCCGCTCATAAATCTCCCTCTCAATTGCCCCTTAATTTCGTCCGCGCAAGCGTGACGGGGATTATTTATCCTGACCGGGGTAACACTTCCTCGGTCTTCGGTTTTGCAAGAAGTCAACCGAGCTAGTTTTCTTGCTCGACTCCGTGATTCACTCGGTCGACGCCTCCTCTGGCCTTCTTGTCTTTTCAACTGTGACACTGCCATTAATGGGGGCACGTGTCAGTATCTTATTGGCCCTCGAGCAGCCAACCCAACCGTCCCCTCAAATTTGAATTTGGGCGGCTTTTTCCCCTCTATAAACATGCCCCTTCTCGCTTCCTTTCATTCCTACTGCCTCTCTTCAAGCCTTCGACGTTTCAGAGCTCAAGTACCCCCAGCAAAACTTCGTCCCTGCCATTCCTTGCATTTGTGCTCGAAGAAGTAGGCCTTGCCCTCAACTGGTAAGTTCCTTGAACCTTATTTTTGCTATTCAAGTCGGCATTTCACATATTAGGGCACTAAATCCGTAGGTTTTAGGACATAGGCACCCAAAACCGTCCTTAACCCTTCACTCTCCTTGCTGTTCTTCATTTTCTCTAATAAATACTGAGGATCTGGGGCGGACCGGGCTCCAGGCCTTCCTTTGATCCAAAAAATCATTTGGACCGAGCAAATAAGCAGTTTGTCCCAACCTTAGTAGAAACCGGGGTAACCAAATGACTTGGCCGTTCAACCGAGCTAACATCTGGTCCACTTGAGCGACTGGGCTCCTTGGTTAGCCTTAACGACCGAGGTGGTTTGGCACTCTGCATGACCGAGCTAAAGTCAAGCTCGCTTTGCACGACCGCGCTCCCTCTTACACTTACCATCATTTTCCTGCAGAGTCCAAGGGGACCACAGACCATTACCGAGGCTCTCAACAACCGAGCAGCTATCATGACACCAGTCTGTGCCAAACCACCTTGTCGAGCTGAACCAGCCGGCTACACATGGGGCGCTTCCGCTTCCTTGTCGACACCCCGGCTGCCTTGCCCGTCTTCCGGGAAGACTACGGCATCCTGGTAGATGTTCACCTAGAGCTCGCCGAGACTGAGACAACCCCTTGGGGCAGATTAGACCAATGCCCCTTCACCGTTCTTTCCATCGTTGAGGGAGGCCTCCGCTTTCTGGTCAACCCTCTGCTGACCGAATTCCTCCGCCGCACCGGGCTAGCACCCACACAAGTATCAACCAACACCTACCGAATAATCAACGGCATTCACGAGCTAAATAACCGGCTAGGGATTAATTTAGGTTTAGCTGAGATACTGCGACAGTACACACTTGGGCGCACGGGCGACGACCTCGCCTATTACTTAAAAATTCGACCGGGCAAAGAAAAGATAGTGACCGGCACCCCAGACAAGGACTTACATGATGACGACTTTTTCTGGGTGTCCGGTAACTATGAAACGGTCGACATACCGGGTTGGTTTATCAGTAATAATTTCGGTTCCACATGTAAGTCGTGCCAACTTGCTCGGTCAATTGCCTTTGTTCCATATTCTTTATTTTAACACTTCTCTTCTTTCCTTTGCAGCAATCCAAGCCTTACAAGCCAACTACCACTATCCCAACGAAGAAGCCATCAGGGCTGTGCTCCGTTATAGCAACCGGGATTGCAACGAGCTGCTCGGCTACACCCCAACCTACCAGTACTCTGCTCCACGCCGGAGTAAAGTCACAAACTTTCTCCGTGCTCCATCACCTCCTCCAGACCCAACACTACCGGACGTGCCCCTAATCCGGTTAATCGAGGCGAAAGAGATGGCAAAGAGAAGCTGCATCAAGAACTTACTCACAGCAACTTCCACTGAGATCCCGAGCATCCAAACCCGCCCAACTGCTATCGGTTAATCGAGGCGAAAGAGATGGCCGTGGTTACCTTGGTTTCTCTGGTTGTCGGTCAAGCCAGCAGAGAGACACGCCGTGCTGGCAAAAGACCACGTGTGGACCCTTCTGTCGAGCTGGTGACCGAGCTCAGCACCGAGCAACTTGCCATCACCGTCGACCCAACACTGGCATGGAGGCCCCAACTCAAACACCGGGATAAAGACATCCCGGCAACCGCTTCCATTAAGGGTGACAAAGAGCATCTGCTCGCCTTTGACCTTTCAAAAGCACTCCTTCTACCGAGCGACATGGTTGGCAGCGACCACATGCCAGACACCCGGTTGGTGGAATCCGCAGTGAAGTCCATGAACAGGGTAAGTTCCAACTTATACTTAAATTTTCACAAGTATTTGCACGGTTTCTTTTCTGATCAGGCTTTCTTCTCGCAGGCCATCCAGAAGCAACACCTGGTCATAGAGAGAATTCATCGACTGCGGCAGAAGGCAAACGACACTGCCAGCCAAGTCCAAAGTCTTCAAACCGAGCTCGCCCGAGCAAAGTCTTCACTGCAGATTGCCAACGCTGACAACACCAAGTTGCTCGGCCAGCTTGGCGACGTCGAGAAAAAACAGGATGAGCTCCAGACCGAGCTAAACGCACTCAAAGAGTCAAGGGAGAAAGAGTGCGAAGACGCCAACAACGCCGGCTTTAAAGAGGCCGAAGACAGTTATAAGAAGCAGGTCTTCGCCACCCAAGACATCTATTTCAAAGCGGGTTGGAAGTCTGCCAGCGAACAGCTCGATCAAGGTCCTGATACCGACGTGTTTGCCTCCCCGCCAGCTGTCTTCCTACCGACCTATCTTGTGCTATATGCCAATGACGTCTTTAGCGCGTTGGAGGCTGAGGCCGAGGAAGGACTTAAAGGAGCAACCGACGCAGATGCTGAGGAAGAGGACCGCCAAGAGCAGGAGCAGCCCAGCCAAACTACGACCGGCGTCCGAGGTCAAAGCCCACCGATCAACCTGGAGGAAGTTGGCGACGAATTCACTAACCTTTCCCCCCTAGTGTAGTTTTCTTAGTTTTTCTTTTTTTTTGCTCAGCACATGTAACCGGGCTGTCTGCCCCACCTCTTGTACATATTTTTATTATCAATGAAAAAGCTCAATTTTCTTGAAGTGTCGGTACGGTCAGCTGAGTAACCTCAACCGGACAAAATACTTCGGCAACATTAACCATCTTGCTTAACTTAACTAATAGGCAAAGGCATCTCGGTAGTGGATACGGCTGAGCACGGCAACTCTTTCAACCGGGGTAAATCATCTCGATTGAGAATACCTAGGTTGAGCAAAACATCAACCCTTTCAACCGGGGTGAATCATCTCGGTTGAGAATACAAAAGTTGAGCAAAACATCAACTCTTTTAACCGGAGTGAATCATCTCGGTTGAGAATACAAAAGTTGAGCAAAACATCAACTCTTTCAACCGGAATGAATCATCTCGGTTGAGAATACCCAAGTTGAGCAAAACATCAACTCTTTCAACCAGAGTGAACCATCTCGGTTGAGAATACCCAAGTTGAGCAAGACATCAACTCTTTTCAACCGGAGTGAATCATCTCGGTTGAGAATCTCAAAACTCAAAACAACATTAAAAATGCTGAGGCGAAGATGAGTCGCTTCTATATATTGACAAAAATGAATATTACATGAAGTGTAAGGCAAAAATTTCCTTTGCACAAAAAGAAAGCTAAAGCTAGAAATAATATAGCTTGAGGTTGGCTGCATTCCATGGC